GTGCTGTGTGCAATCAGTGCAATGAATGATGGGATATGTAGTCCGGGGTGATATGCAAAAGTGTGTAGTGCGAGAGTCAATGAAATGGAAAGGGTGACCTCTGATGGCTAGCAGACGGAAGTTCATGGACCGGATACGTAACAGTATTCATCCTGACATTTCTTTCTTTCATTCAGTTGTGGATTCATGTCTTAATGATAGCCTGTGTTTTATATAACATGTTATTTTTGTTCCTTTAGATTCACAACACATTCCTACAACTCCTACTGCAAACCGTAACAAGAGGAAAATGCAGCAGATTTATGCTAACACTAGTTTGTCTTATGATTTAGTTCTCTAGACTCGAGAAGTGAATAATAAAGGGGAATCTATCTGCTCAGTAGCAGAGGGATGGATGATTAGGAGAGCTATGAATTGAACCAATCATGAAGTGCACATGTAACCTTGGTATTTTAATGCATTTCTTAACATATAAATATGTGTGTAATATTTTAGTCATAGTGTCGTTCTGCTGTGTTTAAAGTGACTCCTGGCCAGTAGCTAATAAACATTCAGGCAAAGAGTGACTTGGGACTCGCGTGTGGTAGTTTACAATGGGGCTAAAAGAGGACTCGTGTAAAAGGCACATTTAAAATTATTACAGACTTATGTAGCAAATGAGCATCAAAAAATTACAGAATATACTTTGAGACAAAGGTCTTGTTTATGTTTTGTGTTTTGTTCAAGGTAATTACACCAACTCATTTTAAATAACAGAAGAATATAAGTATGGTATTCTGGGGGAAAAGCATCCCTTTACTGTTAGCTAATGTGATAAATAGCTGTCTGACTTTCCATTGGCTGACATGATATGGTTAGATTCAAGCAGTCAATAGCGTTTAAGTTCATTATTGTCCACCTTAGAGATAATCACCACATTTTTAATGAAACTTGGTATTTAAAAAGATATAACTCACAAGATATAATAAAATATGATATTTATTGAGACTACTGTAAAACCATATTAAGTTATAATGGGATCTTCAAGCAGTGTAATAATCTTTTTAAAATAAACATTTCTGTATTTTAAACGCATTCTGCAATGTACTCAGTAAACAAAAGTACATTATTTTATTTATTTATTTAAGGGGTTTGAACTGAGGGCAACAAACAAAACCACTGCTAACGGAAAACACGTTTGTGTAATTTTACCTTTTACTCGAAACCTTATAGTTACTGAGATGTGAAGAGACTCACTGTAGTTTCTTCAGTTTACAGTGTGGATCCTCCAGTAGAGCAGAGAGCATCTTCACTCCTAAGTCTCCTGGTTTATTATCACTCAGATCCAGTTCTGTCAGGTGTG